GGGAGGGAGGAAAGGAGGAAGGGAGGGAGGGAGGGAGGGAGGATCAAATTTAAAGATTTTTTTTTTGAGAGAAAAACAAGAGTCAACAGGGAGAGAGCTGGTGACCCTCAGAGGGCTGGACACACCAGGGTGACTTGGCGGGCATTTCAGGGGCATTTTAATGAGTCTCTGGGAACAAACCCAAGCAACATGCCCTGCCTGGTTTTCCTTTCTCTTGGGCTTTAGTCCTGTCCCGGAGGTCAGGAAGGCCCCACCTCAGCATGCCCTCCTTTCCCACCTCCCAGCAGCAGAAGAAGCGTCACAGCTTTTTCCTTTCGAAGCATGGCACAATTCCGCTATCCTCGGGCCTGGGGCTGCCAGCCCCCTCAGTCTCCTTGAGGCCTTCTTCCGCCAGCTGGGACAAGTATTTCTGTGGTGAGAAAAGAAGGAACATGTCAGTGGTGGCCTGGCAGGAAAGGAAAGGAGGGGATATGTGTCATCTCCACCTCTCCTAGTATCTGTGCCCAGTAGGGAGGACACCCCTCCCACCCCCAGCTCCCTCTGGGTCTGTGGAACCCATGCTAAGCCCCTCATTATGTTAGTTTGCAAGTAATACACAACTCTCGTAGAAAAAGTAGAAAGTGCAGCTATAATACCAAACACATCCAAGGTCCTTATCTGGTGCCATGATTTATATAAACTCATTTGATCCTCACAACTCTGTCTTCCAGAAAGCCCAGTCTCTAGGCAGCATGTCCAAATGTAAAAGGCAGAGGGAGGGAAGCTGGAAGGTGGGGAGAAGATGAGCATTGGCCTATGGCAATTGTGCAAGACAGCAACCACAGCCTGACATCTGAATCTCTCAATAACCTTTTTCCTATCAGGGCAGACTAGCAGGCGGAGAGTCTTGGAGGTCTTTTGATGGATTTTAAAATGTGCCTGTCTGAGCCGGGCTCGTTTGCTCAGCCTGTAATCCCGCGCCTTTGGGAGGCTGAGGTGAGTGGATTGCCTGAGCCCGCTGGTTCGAGACCTGCCTGGGCAGCGAGACCTCATCTCTACAATAAATCAAAAATCAGCGGGCATGGTAGCGCACGCCTGTAGTTCCAGCTACTTGGAAGGCGGAGATGGAAGGATCGCCGGAGCCCAGCAGGTCGAGGCTGCGGTGGCCAGGAGCGGCCACTGCACTCCAGTCTGGGCGACAGAGTGAGACTCCAACTCAAAAAACAAAAAAAAAAGAAAGAAACGTGGTTAATAATTGAGAGCATGAGGACAGATCAGATTGCTTACAGGGAAGAAATGTATAGCACAGCCCCCCAAGACTACCATCATCTAAGGGATGTGCAGGGGAGTCTGAGAGGCAGCAGCCAGAAAATTAGGAGGAAACCTGGGAAAGTATGACATTGAAAACAGAGAAAGAGTATTTCAAGAGGAAAGAGTTCTGGTTACCAGAGTTAAATGTTCTTGATAGTCATATTAGTCAAAGATGTCAATAATTCTGAGGGTAAATAAGTAAATAAATAAATTAAATAAATAAGTAAAAAAAAATAAAATGTGCCTGTCTGTTCTACAGTTGGGGGCTGCCTCCACCCACCTGGTCCTGAGCATTCACTACTATGATTGGCCTCAGTCAAACAGTGAGCCAGGTTGGGCTGCTCTTCTGCTGCCTGGAATCAATGTAGTGAGACAGAGCCAGGAAAGGTCTGGGGCCCCAGCTGGTGTCCTCTGATGAGTTGGAGCAGCAAGGACAGTGCAAAGACCACTGGGTTAGGAGTCAGAAGGGTTAGGTCCAGCAAATCGGTTAAGTGTGTGGGATCTGCTGTTAGATGACCTGGGTTCAAATCCTAGCTCTCAAAAGGCAAGCTATCAGATACCTCTGACATCTGGAAAGTGAAGGTAATAACAGTAACTAGTGCATAAGGTTGCCGTAAAGTTGAAGAGAGGTAACACAAGCGTTCAACACAGTGCCTTGCACAGAGTAAACACTCTCTAATGTTGGTCTTTCTCATGAGCGGTACCAGCTATATGCCCTGGGGAAAGTCACTCCTCTTCTCCCTGCCTCAGACTCCTAATCCGTTAAATGGGAGAAGCAGAGTCTTCCTCACTCCTCTTCCTGGGGTGACTTTGAGGGTCAGCTGAGAGGGTGTGTTGAGAAGACCGGGTCTGCCTGCCGTCTCCATTGAAGAGACTGAGGTTGGCTTTCAGAAGAGGAGAGGGGCAAACCAGGCAAAGCCGCTAATGGAGGCCCCGAGTTTTCTTCCACCTCAGCTCAGGGAGGGAAATTGTGTGCTGAGGAAGGCAAGTAGACGAGTATACTGCAAATGGGCCTGTTCTGCTCTAGGACCTAAAGCTAAGCAGTCATCTAATTTTCCTATCTAGTGCTGACTCCACCTGTTGTTCTGGATACCTCTGGGTAGGTTTCCACAGGTCTATGACCAGACCAGCACAGCAGGGATTGCTCAGAGAGAATGAAGTCTCCTTCCACCTGCTCCCTGCCTTGAAGAGCAATCTCTGACCCCCACCTCAAGGCCTCCTAGTGGGTGTTAAGTTTAAAAGTTCCTGACTTAGGTGTCAGCCAGCACCTGCTGCTTTGAGCAGGGTGGTTGAGGCTGTGTGGACAGAGACATTCTGTCAAGGCTACTGACAGAAATCCTATCTAGGAAGCCTGTGGTGGAGGCTCCCAGCTCCCTGACAGGCGCGCCAGGCAAACCTGAATGTGGCTGGCCAGCATGAAGGGCCTAGCCAATGTCTGCCTCTGATACACTGGGGGACCACAGGAATGGCTCTAGCCTGCTGTGGGGAGGGGAATCTGCCTAGGGGCTTGGCCCCGAACACAGTCCACTGCTCTGGAAAAAAAAACAAAAAAACTTGATTGAGAATTAGAGGCCCTGCCAAATCTGAACTCTTCCTAACTCCCTGGGTGACCTTGAACTATGTGGTTTCCTTGGGGGCTGCACAATCCCACTGAGAATGCTGTAAATGATAAAAGGTTCTCATACCAAGGTATCAGAATCTGCTGGAAGGATTGTTTATAATGCAGATTCTCAGGCCCAGTCCTAGAGAGAATGAGTAAGTGTAGGGTGGGATCCAGGAAGCTGCATTTCAAAAAAATTCCAGCTGGTGTAAGGAACAAAATTTGAAAAAAATTAGGACCAGTTGCTCTCTAAGATCCCTTTTGGCCCTACCATTCTATAGTTTCATCTTGTTGGGTAAGGGGATGATTATGTCTTTGGTTGGATGACTGCCCTCAGCTGGATTCGTAGAACCCAGACTGAACACCCTGCTCTGGTCAAGTCAGGCCGTCATTGCCCTGCCCCCAGGAGAGCCCGGGCCCTGGGCCCCAGGCCCTGAGGCTGCCTCAGTCACAGAGCAGCTGCTCTCAGGAGGGAAATCAAGAGGCTCAAATGACCTGAGTTTGGGCACAGCCAATACCCTTGTAGACGGTGACCCAGGCCATGATTTTATGGGTCTCAGTTTCTAAGACTAGTAGTGGAGTAAAAAGAGGAAAGTGATTTAAGAATCAGGTGATCTGGTCCTAGGCCCAGTAACTCATTATCTGCATGGCCCTGGCAAATCAACAGCTTCTCTGGACTTCAGTTTTCTCAATTATGAAACAGGAGAGTCCACTCATATCTGAGTTTCTTAACTAGGTACACATTCAAGTCATTTGGAGTACTGTCTCAAATTACATATTCCTGCAACACCTGCCCCCCTAAATTCTTCTGAATATCTGACATAGTATGTGTATTTTAGAAACACTGTCCAGGTGATCCTGGCTCACGTCCCTACTTAAGAACTACTATATTAGTCGCTTTAATAATTTAATGGTAACAGCAATGCCTGTCCTGGGCACAGCCACCATGGCTACTTCTTTTTTTTTTTTTTTTTTTTTTGCGTTGGAGTCTCACTCTGTCACCCAGACTGGAGTGCAGTGGTTGCTCCTGGCCACCGAAGCCTCGCCTGCTGGGTTCCGGCGATCCTTCCGCCTCAGCCTTCCGAGTAGCCGGAATTACTGGTATGCACTACCACGCCCGGCTGATTTTTTGATTTATTATAGAGATGAGGTCTCACTGCCCAGGCGGGTCTCGAACCCGCAGGCTCAGGCGATCCACTCACTTCAGCCTCCCAAAGGCACGGGATTACAGACTGAGCCACCGAGCCCGGCTTGGGTACTTCTTAAATTGAGGCCTCATGAGTCACACAGCTAGTCTAATTCCTTGTAGTAAAAACAGGAGGTGTCTTGAGATACTTACCCCTGGGCACCTGATATACCATGGCTTCTGTCAAGTTGCTACAACCCAACCTATACCAGAAGTTAATTATGAAAGCCACTAATACTATATATTAGTTAGGTATACATTATAGAACATATTACCATATGTCATTAGTTTTAAAACACATTTTTTCACACATTAACATCTCTGAAATCAAAATGTTGTTGGAGTCTCACCATTTAATATGCAACATTTTTGTTCTTGTTTGTATCAAAAAATAGTGATGTGTCTCATAAATAATGACACCTTAGGTTGGATGACATATGATATAGAGTATTTTGCATATGTTACCTCAGTATACAATATCATTTACTTCATTTATTGTTTATCTCCTGCACTAGAATGGAAACTCCATGAAGACAGAGGTTTTGTCTGCTTTATTGTTGTTGTATCCCTGGTGCCTAGAACAGTGTCTGGTATATAGCATGCCTGTGATCCATATTTGCTGTATGGATGAACATTTAAATAGGACATCGCAGTGATTTTTATTCTAGCAAACAGGGATACCTACACAGGAGAACAGAAACAGATAAATATCTGCATTTGGACTACCCAGGCCTTGTGGTGGAGGGTCAGTCCCTACCATGAGTCAGGTAAATACTGGTCTAACTTGAATTACTCACAGTATAGAGGGAGAGGTTGATATTGACAAAACCAATCCAAACAGAATGTTTTTTGTTGTTTTTTGTTTTGTTTTGTTTGAGTTGGTGTCTCACTCTGGAGTGCAGTGGCTGCATCCCAGCCACCGCAGCCTGGACCTGCTGGGCTCCGGCGATCCTTCCGCCTCAGCCTTCTGAGTAGCTGGAATTATAGGCTCATGCTAACTGCGCCCAGTTGATTTTTTTTTTTTTTTTAATTGTAGAGATGAGGTCCTAGCCGGGCTCGGTGGCTCAGCCTGTAATCCTGTGCCTTTGGGAGGCTGAGGTGAGTGGATTGCCTGAGCCCGCGGGTTCG